TACCTCTGAAGGGACATAGTCAGTCCATCATCATCTGAGCACTCATGCTGGCCTCGAGGCTCCTCCAATAGCACAGTGCCTGTCATACACTTCAGAGTCCATGCCAGCATCCCAGCCCCTGGACCTGTCCCCTACTCTAAGCCCTCAAGCTCATGGATATCTTTCCCTAACCCCCCAAACCCAGCTACTCACTCTCCTCAGAGCCTGCTGTTCCTGTCATGACCCCTGCCCCACCTCACTGTGTTGTCTCTGTTCTCTATCGCCTGCTGTTCTCCCCTTGGCCACAAAGCCCTGACCAGATTCACTCTTCTAGCAATGTTCAGTCTACTTCTTTCTCTCTCTGCTCTGGACTCTTTCAGATTCCTGAGTGTTTGCTTTCTTATAGCTACAGTACACACATTCCCCTTCACGATACCGTGAAGCAGACATGTCATCGATTTATACAGCTTCCAAGTTAGACCAGCTATGAGGTAACCTTGGCTTCCATGTTTAAAATAGTTTATAGTAGCTTACCTGATTTGAAAATGTGCGAACATCAAAAAAAGCTATAATGGAGCCATATTCACTAGACATCATGCACGCAGAGAGTGTAAGGTTATCACAGCTCAGTGCCAGATGATGTACTGGGAATTTCATAGGAACATTCAAGCCCTGGATTGTGTCAACTATGAAAACAAAAACACAGAAAATAGCATGTAATAGGCACAGTCATAGTCCTTTAATCAAGTCAATATGAAGGCACATTTTTACCTATGTAAACATATACCTGTTGGATATAGAGAAAAGAACTTGTCTTAAGAACTGCCATTCTAAATTCAGACTTCATTTTACCTATAGAGTGAAACAAAGTTCAAGTTCCCAGGCTCTGGGGAACTGAGGACTTTCTAGAAGCTCACCAACACCCTCTCTAAGCAACAATAGTTACCCAAAAGATAATGCCTGTCCCTAACAACAGAAAGAACAGATGAATTTGATTGGTTGAGCAAAAACACTTACATTCAACGTCAGGTAACAACAATCCCTGAGTCCTGATTGGTGAAAATTTTAACTGTAACTTGTCCCCAGGTGCTTACGATTTTTATGCTTATAAACCCTGCTGATTCAGCCCCTACTAAGGGCTGCCAGAGAAACAAGGCTGCTGAGTCCTTGTTGGGAGGCTCTGATCATCAGCGGCTCTGCTTATGTGTATTACTGTACAAGATTTGCTGTCTTGCAAGGCCGCTGGTGCATTCTCCCGGCTTCCTCGTGATGCACAATGGACACAGTGTAACAATACCTTGGATACCTGGTTATGGGAACTAAGCTCAAGTCTCCTATAAGCAGGTTAATGCTGCTTTAAATATCCCAAGACTCTTGCTTTGCCCTTGCTGAAAATACTTTTGCTACAATGCTGCAAACACACACTTCCTTCTGTTGGGTGATGCTGCCATGCCTTCTCCTGGACAGCTTCTCAGAGCCCACGTTCTGAGAAGAGAAAACTGAGCAAGAGAAAACCATAGCATAACAGTACGGTTTTCTTTCCTCTCAGAGGAGTGGCTCACAGAAACAAGAGACAGAGGGCTACAAAGAAAACTCAGAAAGGCTTTTAGAATCCTATCTGGAAGCCCCCTGCAAGGCCAAAAGAAATTACAATTTTGACATCAGAATTGTATCTTGGGAAGGAAATACAATGATTAGTATGCCACCGCAGCCCGGGCTCTGCTACACAATATAAATCAAAGAAAGCACTTACCAATTTTATTGGGATCATCTCCAGGTTTGTTTTGGATAAGAAGGCTTTTAGTCGGAAAAACGTTCAAGCCATTGGTGCCACCAGCAAAGAGCATACCATACTTATTGGATATGGTAAGCACACTCGCGCGCTCCTTGGGCAACTCTTCAGGAGAGTCAAAGATCCTCACTTTCTTCAGTGCTCTAAACTGAAAGTCCTGTTGTAGAATAGGAAACAAGATCAAGGAAGAAATTAAATCATGTCTATTACTATACTCCATAAACACAATTTCAGTATAACAAAAATATACTTATTACCTTGAGGCCAACAAATTTCTGTTTTTAGACTCCATATTTGGTGGTGCATGGCATGGCATAATACTAACATTTGCTGAATGAAATAGAGGGGCTGGAGAGAGGGTGCAATAGTTAAGAACACTGACTGCTTTTCCAGAGGATCTGGGGTCAATTCCCAGAACCCACATGGTAGCTCAAAACTGTCTGTAACTCCAGACAGTTCCTGGGGATCTGATACCCTCAAAAACAATCTGTAATCACTTTGTTAAGCTCTATCTGTAACCCCCACCACACCCTGTAACACTCCAGGTTCGGGTTCTAGTGAAAAGAATATGACAACTACCAGAGAAAATGCATTTCTACAGAGCCTTATGGGATTCTTTATCAAGGGTGTCTAGCACACTCATACTAATTTTCTTGCAGTCCATCTTTAATGGACATTTACTAAAAGACTGGGATACTCTTTTAATAATGTATTTATTTTTATTTTATGAGCACTGGTGTTCTGCCTGCATGTGTCTGTGTGAGGATGTCAGATCTCCTGGAATTATAGCTGAAGACAATTGTGTGCTGCCATGTGGTTGCTGGGAATTGAACTCAGGACCTCTGGAAGTACAGCCAGTGCTCTTAACCACTGAGCCAGCCCCAGTACTCTTAATTCCAGTTGAATTCAGTGGGCAAAAGTTCACAACTCCCCCATGAGACCACACTCCCCGTTCATAAAGGAACACACTGTCTATCTTTCTTTGTTATTATCATCCTAACAGTCATGACTGTACCACTGGGGCTTGGTGGCCTTTATGTGGAGGGCTGGTGTGATGAAGCAACACAAAAGAAACAAAACAAAACCTTTCTGGTTCTGGCAGTAATTCATATACTGCTATCCACCCTGTGGTTCTAAGGTCTCTACCCCAACATATCTGAGGAACCCATGCTCATTAGGGGGCTCAGCACAGGTGCTGACTCAAGAAAGAGTCACTGTTTCGGAGGATGATATGGAGCACTCTCCCCTACGTGCACTTTCATAACTCACTGTTCAAATGTCTAGCACCTTCCTGCAATTCACTCATTTCCAGGTGTCTACAGTCCTCTGCCTTTCCATTCTGCTAAATTATATAAGTGAACTATTAACACAGTATCTAGAAGTTGTGGCATGGGGGGATCACTTGGGTTCGATTGCTTTCCCTTTAGTCTCATGACTTCAAGCTGATTTCCAATGCCAAACTTGACTTTCTGTTCCTACTAACTAGGGGTTTTGAAGACAGACCATGTTTCTTGGTTCCACTTTAGGTAGTCTGGACCACCTTCAAGTATAGAGAGAGCTAAGAATTGGGTGTCTAAGCCAACTGTGGTGATGTACATCAGTAATCCCAACACTTGGTAGTTGGAGGCAGAGACATCAAGAGTCCAAGACCAGAAAGCCACCTTGAACTACAAGAGACCATGCCTAAAACGTAAGAGAGAGATTTAAAGCTTTTGCCACCTGACTTCGGATAATTTACTTTCAGAATTTGCTCCTCGTTATAAGCTGGTTGTAAGAGCTGCAGCGACGATGGCCACAGTACCTCTCACTCAATAAACAAGAATAGTTGTTACCCGTAAGGTGAGGCGTGTACAAACCCACCCAAGAACAAGTGACCTACACCTGGAGGTAACACGCATAGAGCTGCGGACACTCTGGGAGGCGAGAGATCAGAACCCTGCAAACTGTAGAGCAGCCAGCAGAGGCGGGGCTCCAAGGACTACCGCAGGCGGGGAGGCCCCGGCCAGTCTCTAACCTTCATCTCCCGCTCAGGGATCAGGGCATCCATCTCGTCTCCCATCGTGCCGCCTTCAGGATGTCCAAGTAGCTGCTGCTGCCGCTGCCGCTACCGCCCGCAGCCTTTCAAACACAGCCCAGGCCGCTCAGGGCTCAACTTCCTTCCCTCAGCGCCAGCGGCGCGCGGAAGATGCGCGTTTCCGGCGCGCGTGGCTGACGTCACTCAGGCCGGTTTGTACTGTTCTCTAAAGCCGAGGCCTCTTCAGAAGTCGCGCGCTCGCCAATCCACAAGGCCCCATTGGCCACTTCCGGCAAGGGGGTGTGGCCACGAGGCGCGGGCTGGCGTCCGCCTTCCTTCGGGTACCGCGTGCACAGGCTCGCCTTTTAAGTTTCTCTCTTAGAGACGCACTTCCTGGTAGCACTTACCTGCAGGGCTCATAGAAGCTTCCGACTTAGACAAGTTAGGAACTTTGAAGCTGTTTCAGGACAGAGCGGACAGAGAGGTTCAGTTAGCGGGTGGACTGCACTGTATGCGGGTGCGGAACCCTTTTAAAAAAGGAGATGAAAAGGGACAAAAGATCGGTTTTGGTTACTGTTTTCAAGGCAGTCGTTTCAGAGCATAAGCCGTATCCACTTAACATAGCAAAACATTTTGTGCACTTTACAGTGCACTTTAACCTTCAAGGTTTCTAGTCACCTAGGGGTTCAGTAACTTTAAAACCCCGCTGCGATGGTGCGGGCCTATCATCTCAGCTCTTGGGGATTAGAGGCCAGAGGATCAGGAATTCAAGGTCTTCCTAGGCTACATAGCAATCTCTAAATATCCTGAGTTACCTGGGACCCTGAGGCCCTGTCTGTAAACAATTATAAGCAAATTCCACAGAAAGCAGTTAAATTATCCAATAGCTTTCAGCCGGGAAGGGTTAAGATCTGTGTATACTGACTTGATATTGAAGAAATTTCTGAAATAGAATTATAAAAGAGGTTCCTAACTTGGAGTTGGTGGGTCAGCTCCAGAGGACATATTCTGTCACACATGTGTGCCCCAAGCCTCTATTCATTATAAAATAATGATAAAAGTAGACCTGGACCTTGGGTTTAATCAGATGAAGTCAACAGTCAGTCTGGGACATGGAAGACCCAGGACACACTCAATGTGTACCTGTTTGTTATCAGCTAGCTGTTCTGAATTTACTGAGCCCAGCGCTGTCCCCAAGAAACACAAAGACACTGATAAATTGCTCTAATTTATTCCAGTCTGCAGACCCACCCATACATACACATGCACACAATAATGGCATTCACCCGAATCTACCTGACAAACATCTTTTGAGTCACTGGGACAAAGCCATGCTTGACAGTCCCCACACTGCTGGTTACACCAGTTACATTTGGTCTTTTTCAGAAATAAGACAGCTGATGTTCCAAGAAAGCTAAGCCCTTAACTAGTGAGGTTAAGAACCCTGGAACCACAGACACAATTTGAAATATATACTAAGTCTTCCATTAAAGGGTTATTCTTAAGACTGTCTTCCCATGGGTTGATATACAGACCACTGAAGATGGTCTCCCAATTAGAGAGCCTCTTTCTGTACTTTGCAGAGGTCAGAGGCACATTCCTTTACGGAGGTGGTGTGTGATCTCATGAGTTGTGGACCCACTGAGCCTGGCTGATTCTGCCTTCCTCTGTCACAGAGAATAGGAACCCTATGCAGTCCAAGGTCCCACCCCAGTTACAGAAGGAAGGCAGAAGGAATGGAGGCAGAGATGCTAATCTTAAAAAAGAAAAAAGTCAAAGAATGGGGTGAGGGTAGACAGGATTTTATATTTAGAGGGAGGAATGCTGGGGTTTAAACTTCAACTAGACTGTGCACTTGAAGCAGCTCCTAGGGCTGAAAATCAGCCAGTCATAGCTAAATGATCTCTCTCATGAGCTGAACTGGTTGAGACCAGAGAATGAACTGGAGCTAGCCGTTCCATGCCCTGCTTGCTTCACCTTCTCTAGCTGCTGTGGGAACAGCAACCTGGACTGCAGAACACTGAGGAGCCACAGGAAAACCACACTAGTTCAATGCTTCCCTGTCTTTTTGCACTTAGGATTTTACAGGGGCTTTTCTAACACTTGCCAACTCACGAGCCCAGTTGGAATTCCTGGGACTACAGGGTACTCACCTGTTGCCCCTCCCCCCACTTCCTGACATCACCCTGTCATTGGCTGGGTGTGACTCCCCAGTAGACATAAATTTCATGTGTCAGTCCATTCCATTGCTGGGTTCTGGACTCGTAACATAGAGCAGGTGCTTGATAAACATGTTTGATGAGTGACTGTGTCTTGTCTTGGGTGCCACGAGTAAACAGTTCCAGAACACAGGTAAGGTCAAGGCTGAGGTTCCCCACTCAGTGAGATGGGTCACGTTTGATACTTTGCTGCATTAATTCTTGGAAATGGTCTCTGAGGACCAGTCAAGGAGCTGTAAGGAAGACAATCTGCAAAGGTAAGCTTGGCCCTTACTCAAATCTCACTGCCAACTTGGAGGCCCTCAGGAGGGTGAGTCCAGACCCAAGGCGTTCAGTGGAGATCACATCTTCCTCAAGTATCAGGCTGGGAGAGGTTGCTACCTACCCTTTCCTTTGACCAATGTAGCCAAGAGCAGGGCTCCAGTGCACACTCTCTGATAGTCCCCGCTGACCTTCAGCAAGGCACTTAAACCCTGGAGGCCAGCAGTGAAATGGGAGGACTGGCCCAGCTAAAATCTGCCATGTGACCTCGGTCTAATCCCCAAGCTCCAGGTCTTGAGGGACTTGAAAAGGGAGCTAGGGGCTGGACACATCACACATGGAGACAACATAGGAGGACTTAAAGCTTGTCATACATACTCGATAAATAACTGCTGGGGGTGTGTGTGTGTGAAGGGAGAAGCCAGTGAGTCAAACAGCTGGATTGGGGGCACTGTGCAATCAGACACCCTGTTTCTCTGTTTGAGGGTCAACACTTGTCTCCTCTTCTACCCTGGCGCCCTCAGCATTCTCCCTGAAAGTAGGACTTCCCCACACCACTGTCTTCACCTCTGCCTCCAAACCCCTCTACTGCCCTAGCAAGGGACAGTGTAGTTCCACTGTCCCTCTGAGCTGTCTGTCATGGTGTGGTTCCTTCTGGTTTCTCTGAAGGACCCCAATGTTTGTTCTTCCCTCCCCCCTTGTGTCATGTCACCGAGCATGGACAGGGACAAGAACCAAGGGGAATCAGTTGTGTCTCTAGGCACTGAGTGGCCACTGCTACAAGATCCAGCAGCACAGGAAGTATGTCCCTAGGACACTAGGGAGCCCTGGAGCTCTGTGCCTGCTCTGGATCTTCTGAGAGTTGGAGAAGGGAGGGGCCCACCAGGGCCAAACCTGCAGCCTGAACTTAGTTTAGAAATCTAGAAAGATGAAAGGACGGACAGGGCCCTCTTCAAACATGGGAAGGAGGTTTGCAGCCTCCCTGCCCTCTCCAGTTTTTGGTTTGATGTCAGCCCTTTTGTATAGAGAGGGCAGGGCAGCAGGTAGCAGAGGGGCCTGAGGCTCAGGATTCCCAGCCTCATTAAGTCAGGTAACATGTGCCCACATAAAGAAATGAAAAAGACAAAGAAAACGAGTCCTCTGGGATAGAACACATGAGACATATCACAAGGAGTCGAGATGGCAGAGAGCAGAAGGGAGAGGCAGGGGCAGGGATGGCAGCCTTGAAGGTCCAGGTGGGTCCTCAAGGCAGGCTGGCAATGTCTCTCTCTGGAGGTGGGCCAGCTGGCTTTGGGCTGGTCTCGTTGGCTTTTCCTTCAAACATCATGACCCTGGTTTGGAGATGAAGAAAAGAAAACAAACGGATTAAGACTCCTCCCCTTGGCCGGGCGGTGGTGGCGCACACCTTTAATCCCAACACTTGGGACGCAGAGGCAGGCGGATCTCTGAGTTCGAGAGCTCGAGGCTAACCTGGTCTACAGAGTGAGTTCCAGGACAGCCAAGGCTACACAGAGAAAACCAAAAAAAAAAAAAAAAGACTCCTCCCCTTGTAAGAAAGCTCCCCAGTCTTCCCTCTGCAGGATCCTCAACAGAGTACCCCGGGGCTGGCTGTGTGGAAGGGGTGGGTTGGTGATCCCACAGCAGAAAAGGAAAATCCAGGCACAAAATAGCAATGGGACTCCCCAAGCCCAACTGCTCAGCCAGTCCGAGGTGGAAAAAGGGACAACCCTCTAAGCCTACTTGGACTTCCAGGCCATATGCCTTCCCTATCCAAGCTGTCTGAAGGTGGGTAGGTTGGGCCAGAGCTCTGCCTCAGAATACCATCAGATCTTTTAAACTGTCCCCATTGGCCAGTCATGGTGGCACACGCCTTTAATCCCAGCACTTAGGAGGCAGAGGCAGATAGATTTCTGTGAGTTCCAGGACAGACAAGACCACACACATAGCAAAGAGAACCTATTTCAAAAATAATCTCAAAAAGAGAAAGAAAGGAAGAAACAAACAAACAAACACACACCCTGTCTCAAAAGCAAACCAAAGCTCTTCTCCACTGTGCTACAAGACCAGTCCCTTCTGGAGAGAAAACCATGTAGTCTCAAAAATGTAGCCTTTCTGGGAGACTGCCTGCATCTTAGTGCTGGCCTACTACTCCCAGGACGACTGACTCAAGATAAACATTCAATCTATGCACGTTTATCCACAAATGGGCACACCGCAAGCTCTGGCCACACTGAAACATGGGCTCAGGAGCCAGTCCCTCGGCCTCCTTGGGCCTCGATGAACACTGCACATGAGCGTGTACATGTGTGGAAGCCAGAAACAATGTCAGGAACATTCCTCAGGTGCCATCTCCTTCTGATTTTCTTTGAGACACAGTCTTTTGGTGGTCTGGAATGTTCTAAATAGGCTCTCTGGCCAAGGTTCAAGGACAAGATAACTTGCCCATTAGGGTCCTTAAAGAACAAGGGTCAGTGTCAGGATTTAAACTAGAACTGACTTTCAGGAAGGGAGGTGGTGAAAGACGTCTGAGATGGGTCTCATATGGTCCAGGCTGGCCTTAAACTTGCTACGTAGCTGAAGATAAACTTGAAAGTTCCTTCCTTCCTACATCTACTGCCTTAGTACTAAATATATAGATGGCCTTACCATGCCCCGCTAAAGCTGATTATAGACTGTCCACTCACAACAACCAAAGGGAGTAGAAATATCCTTTACAAACGAGGAAATTGAGGTCAGAACATGTTGACAATAGGGATAGGAGTGTATCAAAATAACTAGAGCATTTTCCTACCATGTATGAGGCCCTGGCTTTGATTCCAAAGAAGGAAGGAAGTAATCATAGTCAGGTGTGGTATTGCATGCCTATAATCTCAGCAATTGGCAGGTTGAAGCAGGAGGTTTGCCATGACTTTTAAGGCAAGCCTGGGCTACATAGTAACAGGCCAACCAGGGTTACCTGGGAGTACACAGTTAAGACTCTGAAGACCTTGTCTCAAAAAATGTAAAAAAAAAAAAAAAAAAGTCAGATTTGGTACTGACGTCACTTTGGTCAGACTAGTGAAGCCCCCATCTTGGTGTTGCCATGCACACTCCAATGCAAGCTAATCTTTCCTAAGGAGAACAGGCCCAGAAAACTCAGGTAGCACAATGAATTATCACCCACTGAGCCCCTGGGCCTCTCCCCACAGGATGGCCTCGCCCTTGAGACCCATGAGGTGCGGAGGTACTCACAGCTTCAGGACCGCTGACCGTTTGCCCAGCATCATATTCACAAAGTCTCGGTAGGAGATGGTGTCGCTGACACCCCCTGTCACTTCTGAGATCATCTTCTTCATCTCCAGGTGGGTCTTAGGGACCCCCAGCTTCTCCATCATCCTCTTTAAAGACATCAAATCTGCCAGGAGGAAAAGCAGATCTGTTGAGTGGAGACAGGACCCTGAGGCCCTGGAGGCAGCCAGGGATGCCCACTCCTGCACACACAGTTCTCAGTGATTGCCTCTCCCTGCAGGCTGCAGCAATGATTCCCTGGGGAGGCAGGGATAAGCCCTCCTTGCTTTCCTCAGAAGCAGTAGAGGCCAGCAGGTGGGGATCTGGGCTAAAGTCAGATGGGCTGGAATCAAGCTTTGCTCTTCTTGATGGGGGTTGGGGGGGGGGCCGGGTCCAGGAAGGACTGCTTCAGCTCTCTGGGATGACAGGTAGTACATGTCTACAATCCCAGCAGTTCAAAGGCTGGGGCAGAAGGATCACTACATGTTTTAGGCCAACCTGGGCTACATAATGAGGAAGGCCTAAGGTGACAGCTCAGTCAATAAGGGGCTTGTTGTGCAAGCCCCTGAGCTCAATGCCCCAGAACCCGAGTAAATATTCAAACACACTGGCTCAAGCCTCAGTCACGGGGTTGGGGAAACTGGCAAGAGGATCCTGCCCAGCCAAATCAGTAAGCAAAACACTAAAGGGGAGAGCAATTGAAAAGACGTGGACGCTGACCTCTAACCTCTACACACAGTCATACGCAGACCCACACGTACATGTGGACCTGCACCCCAACACCACCCAATCAGTTTGAAGGAAAAAGAGAAAGGAAGAAGTGTTTGGTTATTAGGCTTGTGCAGATAAATGAGACGCTATCCCAGCAGATGTTCTGGGTTAGCCAAGGTGCCGGGGAGTTAGCCTGACCCCAGGCATTAAAAGTCAAACTTAATCTGGCACACCACAGTGGAAACCATTGGCACCTGCCACTTACACTCAGCTGTTCTAAGACTCTCTCCCTAGGGGAGAAGGGACTGGGAGCCAAAATTACCCCTCAGAGCAGGAAACGCAACAGAAGAACAAAATGGAAGAAAAACAAGGGAGGCACCCAAAGAAGTCACTCCACCCCGGGAGCCTTGCCCTGACCTCAGAGCTCCCACAACCATCTGAGGCTATTTCCTGGGGATTGTTCACAGTGAACAATGGATCAGCAAAGGAGGGTGGGAAGGGGCTGATTCTAGGATTGTGAGCAGGCTTCAGGTGGACCGCCCTCGCACAAGACCGGAAGCTGCTAGGCTGTCCAGGCTTCTCTGTGGCAAAGCTCACAGGGTACACTCGCTGCCCACCAAACTGGCAAGACCTCCTAGAGGACACTCGCAGGGAGCTTCTGAGTCCCCTGACCCACTGTGCCACTTTCACTGGTGAGGGCACCAGATCTATCTAGAGAGATGTGGCCATGAGCTGATTAGTAACAGTTAAAATGGAAAATAGTATGCTGGCAAGATAGCTCAACAAGATGGGGAAAGGTGTCTGTGGCCAAGCGGGAGGTACTGAGTTTGATCCCTGGAGCCACGTGGCCAATTCCTTCAGGTTGTCCTCTGACGTCAAATACATGCCTTAGTGGACCAGCCCCTCCTCGTAAACAAATAAAAAATAAATGTAATCTAATTTTCTTTGAGACAGAGTTTCTCCGTGTAGCTCTAGCTGTCCATCAGCCTTGGCCAGAAACAAAACAAAAATAAACACACACATACACACTGAAGATACAGCTCAGTTGGTAGGTTTGCCTAGCATGCACGCAGTCCTGGGTTCCATCCTCTGCCCTGTATAAAGTTAGCCTTGTAGTGCATGCCTGTAATCCCCACACTTGGGAGACTGTCGAATAAGACATTCACAGTCATCCTCAGCTATGTACTGAGTTACAGGCCAGCCTAGGCTAACAAGTCTCAAAACAAAAAAAAACACAAAACCATCTAAAATCTAAACTTCTAAATGGTAGTAGCTATCCAGGTGTTGCCTGAGTGCATTTGAGTCCATTTATACAATGGAATATCCTGGGTAGGGGCGGGGTAACAGAGACCCTGTTCAGAAGCAAAGGCTGGGCCTGAGCCCACACCTTAACATCAATAACCCTCCAAATCCTTTCATTTCTGAGTCCTCTTGGTTTTCCATCCACAAACTGAAGGTGTCTGAGCAGCCTGGACCATGGCCCAGTCCTGCTGGTCAAGAGCATCCTACCTGTCTGTGAGTACCCTGGTCTCTTGTGCCTTTGTCATCCTAGCACCTTGATGACATGAAGCAGTGGGTTCTGCTGGAGGTGAGAGGCAGTCAGTATCTACATTCCTTGTCACTACAGGACAAGGGACAACAATGAGCACAAAACAGACCCAGGGAGAATGAACCCGCAGCATCTTGGTCCAGGAGTCAAGCAGCCCCTGCAGGCCTGGTTGGAAACAAGTTCTAGGCTCTGGGGTGGGAGGATGGGGAATCTAGCAGTGTGGCACACATGAGTAACCCCAGGCAGTAGAGCTGGGCCAATAGGTGGAAGGACCTAGGGTGGGCTTGGCTTTCGGCAGGACAGAAAGATAAAGGGTGAAGGGGTGCAGGGAGGGAGAGGGGCCCCCTGGCTCTTAAGTCTCTTACTAGCAAAGAGTCAAGAATCTTAACCCAACAGTCAAAAGAAAAAATGCTGTGAACACTGCCTGCAGAGACAGTATTCCCATCCTGACAAGAGACTCCTGACAAGAGCCACAGAACAGCTGGCCAGCTGTGCCCACAGCCAGCTTGTGGGTGACCCTTGAAGTTAACCTTACCAGCACACCCTGTTGTCTGTTCTGAGAAAAGACTCCCAGACAAGATCATGAGCTGTTTACAGTGAGAACATGTCTGGGCCTCCTAGTGACCCGTGTATGGTAAGAATTCCACTGACCTTTGTGACCCACAATGTTATCTTTTTAGTCTGTGAAGTCTGCAGAACACGCTCATAAAACCCTGGAAAATCTCACGGAAAGACAAATTCTTCAAATGAGAAGTATGCAAAAACATTTTTACTTAATCTTTTAAACGTAGACATTGATTAAGCCACCAAAATCATATAGATACCAATTATTAAGCTACTCAAACCCAGCCTTCTCTTGGTAGTTTTTGTTTTGTATGAGTCTCTCTCTCTCTTAAGAAAACTACATTTCTTCCATTGCCATCATTTTTCCTTACTATTTTTATTGTAACTTTTAAGATTATGTGTAGGTGTCTGTGCACATGAGGGCAGTGCCCATAAAGGCCATCAGATGGCGCCAGATCCCCAGGAGCTGGAGTTACTGTTATTTGTATGTCACCTGATGCTCGTGTAGGGAACCAAAATCAGGTCTTCTGCAAGAATTGTACACACTTTTAACTACTGAGTCATCTCTCCAGCCCTTCCATTTCCTTCCTTCCTTCCTTCCTTCCTTCCTTCCTTCCTTCCTTCCTTCCTTCCTAACTTCCTTCCTTCCTTCCGGTTTTTCTTTTATTTCTTTTTTTTTTTTTAAAGATTTTATATATGTGAGCACATTGTTGCTCTTTTCAGACACACCAGAAGAGGGCAGTGGATCCCATTACAGATGGTTGTGAGCCACTGTGTGGTTGCTGGGAATTGAACTCAGGACCTCTGGAAGTGCTCTTAACCACTGAGCCATCTCTCCAGCCTCTCTTTTGGTTTTTCAAGACAGGGTTTCTCTGTGTATCCCTTGCTGTCTTGGAATTCACTGTGTAGACCAGGCTGGCCTTGAACTCAAGAGATCTGTTTACCTCTGCCTCCCAAGTGCATTTAAGACACGCACTACCACCACCCAGCTAAAAAAAAATTGTTTAAAGATTTATTTACTTTTATGTGTATGAGGGTTTTTTATGTGTGTTGTGTGTGTAGTGCCCTTGGAGTCCAGAAGAGAGCAAGAGATCCTTTGGAACAAGTCATTGGGGGTTGTGAACCAGTGGATGGGTCTGCCAGAGCAGCAAGTCCCCTTGATCACTAAGCCACCCCTCCAACCCCTCTTTTTTATTTTTTAATAAAGTGAATTTGAAGTATATTAGAAGGTTTTAACATGGATTCAAGCATGGATATTAAGAAAAGGGGGTGATGTCTGAAGACACATCTACAGGCAGGCAGATCTTCGTGAATTGTATGCCAGTCACAACTACATAGCAAAACCTTGTCTCAAAATCCAAAAAAAAAAAAAAAAAAAAAAAAAAAAGGAAGGGAAAAGGGGGAGGGGGGAAGGAGAAAAGAAAGGGGGAGAGAGGGAAGGAAGGGAGCCATGACATGACACCTCAGTAGGTGAAGGTGTCTGCCACCAAGATTGGCAACCTGCTTGATCCCCAAACCCAAGTCTACATGGTGGAAGTGAACAGGTTCTGTACATTGTCCTAACACACACCACACATAGAGACAGACACGCATGCATACACACTACATACAAATATGTCAATAAATGATAACAACTCATTCTGAAGTTGTCTTTTGCTGTGTGAATCAAGATCCCAGTCCCCTCACAGTGGAAGTCTCTCCCCAGTGTCTTCTGCTGATAGTGTCAAGCAGCTTGGCCATCAGGCCCATCAGGGCAGCATCCAGGTGTTCTTCAGCTTCACCCAGAGCCCCTCCCCAGAGCAGTAGGATTCTTTGGATCTCTGTCCTCCTCCCCGTCCTCCTTCTCTGCCACCAAGGCCTCACTCACCAATCTCGCCTTCGTTGTTCAGGTCAAACTCCATGTATTTTTCTGGAAAGCACAAGCACAAACTGTCATTAGCTTAGAAGCCACAGCTCTCCCTGCAGAACTCAGTGACTCTCTGGAGAGGGCTGACTGAACCCTTGGGGAGCCCTTGACACCCTCCCCAGCCTAGGAGTCCTGTCATCTTAGCTGTTGTCTCTGGAAGAGCCAAAAAACTTCTCCTGATATAAGGTAGCCATGAGGAGGACTAAAGCGTGTGATGTACTGTCCTGACAGTCACAGTGTTCCTTTGCCGTTAAATATGCTAGTTACTCCAGCCTGGTTCTTCCTGCTCTATAAGGGCACACACACACACACACACACACACACACACACACAAACACACACAAACACGCACACTAATATAGGGTATGTATGCTCGAAAGACCAGACACCATAATATTGTCGTATCATGGTATTGACACTAGCCTCCTTTGTGGGATTTTCTAGAGGATCATGGGAAGAAATACCCTGAAATGGAGACCTGATATACTATGATTTGGATCACCTTCCCCTGTGAATATTCATATAAACTTCTTTCCAGTCTAACAAAGCAAAAGCTCACTCCAATCTCTCTTGGAATGTTTGGTTTGCTTAGCCTTGTTAAAACAACTTCTGCTTAAACTGTCTACAGCCCTTGATTGAATTATTTGTGTGTGCGTGTGTGTGCACATGTGTTTGCATGTGTATGATTCATGTGTCTATGCATGCATGTGTGTGGAGGCCTCTTTGTGATGTCAGTCCTCTCCCTCCACCTTTCAGTGGGTGTGGGGATCGAACTCAGGTCACTGGAGTCTTATGGCCAGTGTTTTTATCTGTTGAGCCATTTTGCCATTACCAGATTGAATTCTTTCAAAAAGAATCAGTCTTAACAATATTCCTGGCAAGGGTCAGAGGGAGAGAGGGGGAAGAACAGGAGAATTGCCATCACTCGGAGGGAGACAGATCAGATTTAAGAGCTCCAGGAAAGAAAGCATCCAGCAATGTAGGTGGAGAGGGAATGTGGCCCTGTGGGAGGGGCTACCCAGAAGGTAATGGGGCAACAAAGATAAAACATAGATTTAGAAGGTGTTAAGCCGGGAATACTGGAAGGGGTGTGTGCTAGCCTGGGGGAGGTTTAGAAGTGCCCAACCTTTGAGCTAGTCAAGGGATATCAAAATTAGCTGGCATATGTGTATCTTTCATTTGTGAATCCAGAGAGCTCTTAGGCAGGTGCAGTGTGCCAAAGTGGTTTAACTAATAATTAATTCACCGCTACTGGCACCCTGTTCCCCTCCATCCCACCTGGCTGGTCTCTCAGCCTGGAGTGTCCTTTCAGCTGTGCTCAGGCAGTCCCAAGGACTTCACGTTCCACCAGGCACCTGCACCCTGCTGACTCTGGCTTCTTCTTGCTCAGTGCTTATCTCTGCCCCTGTCCAGGCACGCGCACACACACTCCTCAGGTCTTGCCCCGTGTGGCTCCCCAGGCCTGCACTGGGCCTGGTGCCTGGCAAACAGCCATCTAGAGAGCAGAGGAATGAAAGGCTTGAGGACCTTTGGGTCTGTCCTTTTCCAACAAAACTATGCTTCACTGGGACTACGTGCTAAACAAACCCGACCTTACCTCCCAAAGAAGATGTGACTTCAGACCCCCAAGATTGGGGGCCCCGAGGCCCCCATGAGGAGTGGGCCCTGTGTATCCTTTGCATATATCTCCTGCAGGTTTGCCCTGCTTCCCACTCCATGGAGAGAAAACACAGACCTAGGCTGAGATCTGGGACTCTCGAGGCAGATTAACAAGGACTCGAATCTCAACTCTGCCTCAAGTGGGCCATGTGACCCCTTTGCCAATAATCCTGCCTCCCCAAACCTAAGTTTGTTGGTCTTTAAATGAGCGATCTCATCATCTGCCTCCTAAGGATGGGGGTGGGGTGGCTCAACAGAGCATGCCAGCTATTGCTGACCAGGGCTTTACATGGGCTGACACTCAGCACCTGCTGGCCATTTTTATTATGACTGCCATCTAAGTCCTGGCCAAGACAATCATGCTGTGAACCAACTGAGGCAAGCAAGGCACACTGACAGGTACTTGGCCTTGGAATGGGAAGGATGCCAGCACAGCAAACACTTGGGAGAGGCATGGGACCTCTTGGATATCCTCTGGAAAGTCCAGGGTCCCCATCCCCCCAAGTGTATCCCAGAGACAGGAAAGGTGGGTCTGCCCATTCCTTGTGTGCCCAGGCTCCTCTCCTTTCGAGCCACTGGCAGAGGACCAAACACCAGGGCCCCGAACAGAGGAACCTTTATCCTGCCCTCTCCCTGCGCAGGCTCCTGGGTCCTGTTTTCTTTTCATCCTGTGCTGTTGGGATTCAATGGGCAGAAACTCTGCCCCCCTGCCCCACTGTAGCGACACAAATGTCTATTCTCTGCAGGGGCTCCTGAGAGGCTCCACCAGGGAGGGGGAGATGCAGGGATTGCTCACAAAGGGCAGATTGTGTGCTGGGCCCTGGGAGTGCACAGAGCCTGGATGGGGAGAATAGGAGCCAACCTGAGCCACACTGTGCAGCCATGGGACAAAGGGGAAGGGCCAGAGCCAGCCGGCAGCAGATCCACAGGGGCACAGGAAGGGGAAAGGGCCTGCTCCTGACTCTTTGGGGGGACCTCTGTCCCGATGGGAAGTAGAGCATTCTGGGTGAAGCAGAGCTGCAGCCCAGTCCTGTGGGGCCGAGGAAGCCCGTGTGCCATGGGGTGAGGGAGCAGCCAGCTCTCTGGGGGCTGTTGGGCCGGCAGCCCTGGCTCACCTTTGAAGGCCGCAAGCTTTTCCGGCAAGTTCTCTTCATCACTGTACTTCTGGTCACAGAGGAACTCCTACAGAGGTGAGACCACAGTACTGAGACAGGGTTGAGGGCAAAGATCACCTAGAAGCAACCCCAGGCAGGGTTCATACCAGCTTCCTGTTGACCATCCAGGCAGATTCACAGTCAGCCTGGTGGTAGGTGTTCTCTCCAGCCTGGGGGCAGGGCTTACTAGAGGATCTAATCTGGGAACTGAACACCTTCAGGAACAAGCCCTGTGCTGTCCCTGGGACACCAAGCTCCCAGGATGTGGGAAGCTGTGAGCCCCAGAGACAACTACCCAGGTTGTCATTCACTTCTGAGGTATGTGTCCTCAGCAAATGACCTCTCTGTGTTCGGCGGACCATTACCTTCCCCACCCAGAGAGCATCAAGGCTCAAGGCTGAGCTACTCAGTAAGTCTGCAGGGATAACATGGGAGCCAGGAGTGGTTTGTGCAACATTACCTCTGCTCTGACCAGAGAATGACTGAATGAATTGGTCATCTTCAGCCTCCACCCTCACCTGTCAGATGAGGTTTAATCCCTAGAGCGCTTTCCTTCAAAGCCACAGAAGACATTTGAGTCCTTCCAGAACCAGATGGGTACTGTGGGCAGCTATGGGAAGGATCCAAATAACAGCAGTTGGATCTCAGGCACATTGGCTCTCTTTTCAGATCTCTCAGCAGCCTTAGGTGGTAGCCGCCATTACTGTGCCTGCTTCACGCCTGAGGCAACTGATGCTCATACTGTAGGAAACTCTGCTGAGCCCCACCACACTTAAGCCACCTTATACCACAGTCCAGAGAGATGCAGAGTGTGGGAGCTCTTCACTCCTGGTCTCTCCTCTTTAAAAGCTATTCCCACACTTGCAAGGCTGAGGCAAGAGGATGGCAAGTTCAAGGCCAACTTAGGCTACATATCAAGAGTCTGACTCAGAATAAAAATAACAAGAGGCCAAAGAGATGGTCCAGCAGTTAACAGTACTGGCTGCCCTTGCAGAGCTCCAGGTTCAGTTCCCCCACATCCACAAGGCAGCTCACAGCCGTCTGTGACTCTAGTTCCCGTCAATCGATGCCCTCTTCTGCCTCAATGGACACTGCATGCCCGTGGTGCACAAGACATACATGTGGGCAAAGACTCATACACATAAAATAAAAATAAATCTTAAAAAAGAAATAACAAAAAGTATGCTATTTAAGTGCTTGCACCTGACAGGGCAGTAACAAGGTGCCTTAGCATACCTTGCTCGGTTTGTAGTGAGCTCAGTATCTGGACACAGCGGGAATATTCCTGTCCAACCATTTGGAGTCTGCTAAGCACTGTTGTCTGTGGACCACACTTAGTCCTTCCCATGGTGCCCGTGACACCACACCGACATTTGTCTCCTCATCCACTTGCTCACTGGGCATTTCCTCGGGGACCACAGCCTGGATGCACACTGTGCTGCACTTAGGCGGGAGGGAGTGGTGAAAGGGGGTGGATGAAGTTCCCATCCTAAAACCACGGAGTCCACATGGTAAGGGGACTGGAGAGATGGTGCAATCAGTGAAGTGCTTGCCACACAAGCATGAGGAATGGAGTTCGATCCCCAGTACCAAGTCCAAAACCAGACAGGACATCAGGAGCTTGTAATTCCCAGCAGTCCTGAGGGAGTGGTAGAAGGATCTCTGGGGCTTTCTGACCAGCCAGTTTAGCTGAATTGCTGAGTTCCAAGTCTCAAGCTCCTGAGGAACGACTCCAGAGCGAGGTTGACCTCTGGCCTCTACACACGTGTGCATACATGCACACACACACCTAATCACACAGAGATAAAAATGTGCCAATCAATCTATATCTAAGTTCCTGGCGTCACTTCCCACTAAATGGCACCAGCCTGTACCCACACATCCGGAGTGCTCCCTTCTCCTCCCGGAGTGCTCCCTTCCCCTCCCAGTGTTGTGAACCCAATAGACAGAGATGACAACTACCTAAGTGACCTCCATCTGACTCTTCTGCAGCTCCGATTCCACCTACATGTGGCTCCTCTCCTCCCTGGGTTCAGAAGGGGTCATCTGGCTAAGTATCCACTGAGACCAGCTTTGTGTTATCTTATTAAACCACCCCAGCCACTCATGTTCTGATTTTACAGGTTAGAACTCAACCAGAGGGTCACAGAAGGTGACTAGACCATGCAGCACTGGGAAAATGCAGGGAAGATTTGTAACTGATTCTAGGCCCAGCCCCAGGATCCAGCCGCCTCCCCCAGCTTCAAGATAGCTGGAGCTGGATGCTTTTCCCTGAGAAGCCAGAGTTGTCCCCTTCCTGCTGGCTCTTTGGAGAGTGGCCCTTCCTCTGAGCTCCCTCTTATAGCCCTCTGTGAAGCCCTGCCCCTTTCCATTATCACACCAAAAGTGGAACATTCATACTTGTTGGTTGGGGCACTGAAGACAAGGGGTAGTAAAAGAGGGAGGGACCCTAATTAGGTCTGCCAAGTTTCCCCTTTGCTAAGTAAAGACTTTTAAAACAATGACCACGGACAATTACCATGAGTACAGAAGTTAATCAGTTCTGAATTTTAACTTTGTGTGTGTGTGTACATATGTGTGAGCACATGTATGCATATCCAACTCACTGTTCACATCACTGATGCCTGGAAAACCTTGCATGAAGGGGTGCACACAAAAGTATAAACAAGGGGCTGAGGAGACATCTCCAAAAGTGTTTGCCACATAAGCTTGAAGGCCTGATCTCAATCCCCAGTGTCCACGTAAAACCCAGGTGTAGCAGCACACACATGAAATCTCAGAACTGGGGAGGGAGAGACAAGAGCATCCTGGGGCTCACTGAGCAGCCAGTCCGACCAAACTGATTAGCTCCAGGTGCAGTGAGAGGCGTAAGGTGGAGGCCAGGCATAGCACTGAATGCCTTTAACCCCAGCACTTAGGTAGGTGGACAGCCTGGTCTACATAGAGATCCAGGCCAGCCAGAGCTACACAGTGAGACTCTGTCTCAAACAAACAAATAAGCAAGCAAATAAACAAGATAGAGAGTGGTTAAGGAAAACATTCAACAGTCCCTCTGGCCTCCATATGTGTACATGTGAACACACACACACACACACACACACACGCACACGCACACGCACACGCACACGCACACACCAGGCAAAGGACCAGCATGTGGCACCCTAAGGGAGAGAACCAAAGGGCCTACCAGGTAAATATGGTTCAAGGGAAGGACACAGTCCTTGTTCTTAGAGACAAATCACACCCGACTGACTGGACAGTCAGGCAGGGCTGGGAACAAGGTACACACTGCAGAAGAGGCTCCTGGTGACTCCCTCTCACTGGACTTCCTGTCTGTGCTCTCAGAAGACGCAGCAGAGGTGTGTGTAGGTCAGAAGAGGAGCGTGTGGGTGGGGCTAGGAGTAGAGGTGTGTGGGTGAAGGCGGGGTGTGTGGGTGACCTTGTTTACACAGAGGAAGCAATGTGTCCCCTCCCATCTCATTCCTGCCCCTCCACCATTTTGGCCTGTTTTCCACACGACCTCCTGTTTGCTGAGCTCACTACTATCCCTGGGCCTTTGCTCTAGCTCTGTCCCCCAGAGTGAACTTCCTCCACACATCTGCAAAATTCTCTCTCTCACTTCAAAACTTGGTCACAGAGACTTTCCCCAAATCCCTGATTTTAAAACACCGCAGCCTGTCCATGAATCTGCCTCCACTTCCAATCCACCTGGCCTTGCTCTGATTCTTCCATCCCATGGAACAAAGGATCCCCAACACGGTTTCTCCTGATGTTGCTTTCTTCAGATAGTGCCCGTTGCCCAGCCGCCCCCGTGAGGACACGGGGTTATGTGTTTGGGAAGGAGAGGATGACGGAGACTCAGAGAAGATGAGCGATGTCCCCAGAGTCACGTCACCTGCAAGTGGCTAAACTGGGAAAGAGCTCCGGCACTGAGCAGCTGGCCTTCCCCCTGCCCTCATCCACAAGTGAAGAGCAGAAGCCATCTAAGGAAGCAGGTGTGCGGAGGTGAGTTCCAGGACACACTTATCAGCCTGTGTTCTCTGATGCTGGCTGGTCAGCCTTCTGGACGGGAATCAACAGACCTCTGAGAGGGACTGAAGGTGTTTCCTGAGAGGTACAATGTAGAAGCCTGCCCTAAACGCCAGCAGGACCTTCCCAAGGGTACTTGGAATCCTAGACTAAAGATAACGGGGGAGAGGAGGAAGCAAGCTGAATACCAGCGATGCCCCGTTTCCCGGCTGCACACGCACTGTGACCAGCGCTTCACAGTCCCATATATGCCTTCCCCATTAGGATGGACATCCCTTAAAACTGTGAGACAAGGAAGGAGGGTTTGCCCTTCCTCAAGTTTCTTTTTATCAGACATTTTTGCCCCAGCCATGAGAAAAGTGACCCACAGGTGCCCAGCGCCTACAGTGGCCAGCCTAGAGTAGGCATGCACTCCATCAACAAGTGTTCAGTGAATACAGAAGCCTCCCGTTGTCTTGACCACTTCCTCCAGGCTTCTCTTGGAAATAAGCAGCTTCCCAAAAACTGTGGCTGTGTGTGGCAGACACTGGAGTGGACGCCGGGAATGGGTTCACATCTTCCTTTGGAGCCAACAGTGACAAATGCTTGAGCCACCAGAGTGACCATGGTGGAAAAAGCAGCTGATCCATTCATGTGTGGGGTAGGTAACCCTGGGCTTGGACAGCTGTGTCCTTGGCTGGGGGCAGAGGAGACAGGTGTTCAGGCAGGGAGGAAACTCAAAGGCTAAAAGGCCAGCTTCCTCCATTGCCCCAGGCTTCGGTTTCTCGGTTCTTGCTCAAGCACGGTTCCCTAAAGGACCTCCCCCACGCACATCCCTGCTCAGCCTCTGGGGGAAGCTTTGCTCAGAAGCAGTATCCTTGAGCTGGACCTTGAAGCCAGGCTGTGGGATGAGAGAGCTGTCAGCCCAGAGAGTGGAAGGAAGAGCAAAGCGATCAAGCGTGCACTGGAGTCGGACCACCGGAGCTAACGCACTTAGTAGCAGTGTGAAAATTTCTGTTG